GCAACTGATTTGCATGCCATATTTATAGCAGGACTCAGCATTCTTAGTATAGCCGGTGGAGATGGACTTGTTGAGAAGCTAGTAGCAGCAATCCTTGGTACCAAACTGGATTGTACAGAAATTTCTTCACAGAATGGAGCATCCGCAAACTGGCAGGTTCGTCATCGACGCCAGTGCCTTTGCAGTACGGAATCTGTTCACAGCCCATTGTCACCAATAGCTGCTGCGAAGGCTGTCGGCATGGACATCTGGCGTTATAGACATAAACAAGTCGTAAATCGAGTGTGGGATTTGCATCAAGATAAATTGGTGAACGATATCGACGCCAGGGAAGTCGCATTTATCACACACAAATGGGGTGATGTTGAAGTAAGTTATCAGGATACAATAAACAAGAAATGGTGGATAGGTCAGCCAATTAGTGGAATGTCAGACAAACTTCGCCGAATCAGTAGGACTTTACGGAAGCATACACAGTATGTATGGATGGATACAATTTGCATCGACAAGTCGAATATGTCGGAGCTTGATGAAGCCATTCGATCAATGTACAAGTGGTATGCCAGCTGTGCTGCTGTTGTTCTGGATTCTGATACTCCTCTGAGTACATGGTGCAAGAGAGGCTGGTGCCTACAGGAAGGTGCTGCAGCTGGTGTTCTGTATGGAATTTCGAAAGAAGGAAACCTGTTGACAATACAAGAATTAGCCAATGAGCAGCACCATAATCTCTGTACTCTCGACCTTCACCTATATTATCGACAAGGGAATGCAGCTGAAATATTGGCGAGAATGGCCGTTCGAGAGACAACGCGCGAAGAAGATATGGCTTATGCGTTAGCAGGAATATTTTCGATACACCTGCCATTGGCGTATGGAGAAGGACTCGAATCTCGTGAACGACTATTGCATCAGCTGGCAATCCGTAAAGGCGATCTGTCCTTCTTAAGTTTCCAGAACACCCCAGTAAACTCTTCAAGTTACTTGCCAACTGTTCATGACACTAACTATACGATTGCTGTCTGTAAAAGAGCTTCAGTGCCGATTACCGTTAGTCATTTCGGTATATGTTTTCGGGTAGAACTTATCAACGGACAGGACGTAAGACTGGTAATTCAGAAGCTGGAAAGCTGGAAGAATCTTAATTTTGCCAAAGGCAGATTCTTAGGAGTAGACGCCCTGATAGATGCGGCAGAGAGAGCTGGAAAATATTCAAGATCTTCCTCAGTGCATCTGGCTATCATCCATGACATCAAATCCCTCATGCTAGTGGAAGTAGATGACACCTTGGTGGAAACATACGATGCTGATGGGCAAAGGTGGGGAGAGCGACCAATTAAAATTTGCTATCGATTACAGTGTTGTCAGATAGAAGAAAACGAATTCAATAGGCTATTTGACGAGACCGATGCTGAATTTGAAAGAATCTGGTTAGGCGACAAGCCAGTGGGAGTAGGAACCAAAAAAGTTAAATGGAAGTCAGTTGCGAAGCCGTAGACTAAATAGATATCGATTATCAACCTCTTTTATATTCATTGTATTCACTTGCTGCTTGTTTCGTGTTCATTCATTGCCTCACATCTCCCTATAAACGCTTTTCTTTAAATCAATAGTACGGCACCGCAGTATATATTTGTCACACAAGGTATTACTTGAACAAACCTTTGAACACAGACTTCAGCCCTGGCTTTTCTCTCTTTTCCAATCCGCAAATGCCCTTCGATACCGGCGGTAGCAGAAGTGAACACCAAGGTTCGAAGAATGATCAGCCGGTGAACAGCATGGCAATTATACCTTGCCTTGGTGATGATGCCGATACAGAAAAAGATGACAGACTTCTATGGTTTGATTTAGCGTGTAGTGGAAACATCAATGATATAGAGAGTTTATTACGACGTGGAGCTGATATCAACTGGGAGGATGATCAGATGAGAACTGTGCTTCACATATGTGCTGGCTATGGCCACAAGGAATTGGTATCAGTTCTTCTGAATCTTGCTGCAGCTGTTGATGCTAAAGACGAAAACTCAAGTACTGCACTCCACCTAGCGGCGTGGTACACAAAAATAGATGCTGTGTTGCTGCTGCTAGAACATGGTGCTGAGATTGATGCAAAAGATGATAATTCGGAAACAGCACTACATATGACGACATCACGTCGCTCCAAGAAGTTGTTACAGCTATTGTTGGATCATGGTGCCTCTGTAGACGCAAAAAACAACAGGCTATTGACTGCCTTACATATATCTTCGCATATGGGTTACAGAGAAATAGTACAGCTGCTGCTCAATCATGGTGCAGCTATCGATTCAGTAAACGATGATCGAATGACTCCAATGCATATGGCTGCGCAGAATGGACAAACAGAAGTAGTTCAGCTGCTCATAGAACGAGGTGCTACAGTGACAGCAGTAAGCGAGCGTTTAATGACACCACTTCATTATGCATCGGCGAATGGACGCATAAAGGTAGTACAGCTCCTGCTCAGCTATGGTGCGACAATTGACGCCAAAGATACGGATGGTGATACTTCACTTCACCTAGCTTCATTATATGGACATACAGAAGCAGTGCAGTTGCTCATTGATAAAGGTGCAGCTATTGATTCAGTAAACAATAGTCGAATAGCTCCAATTCATAGAGCTGCGCAGAACGGCCACACAAGAATAGTGCAGTTACTCATAGAAGAAGGTGCTGCAGTGACAGCAGTAAGCGAGCATTTAAGGACACCACTTCATTACGCTGCGTGGAATGGACGCACAGAAATAGTACAGCTGCTGCTCAGTTATGGTGCGTCAATTGAAGCCAAAGATAACGATGGTTATACTTCACTTCACCTAGCTTCATTGGATGGACACACAGAAGCAGTGCAGCTACTCATAGAGAGAAGTGCTGCAGTGACAGCAGTAAGCGAACAACTAAGTACACTACTTCACTATGCTTGTTGGAATGGACATACAGAAGTAGCGCAGCTGCTGCTCAGCTATGGTGCTTCAATTGACGCCAAAGATAATGATGGTGATACTTCACTTCACGTAGCTTCACTGGGTGGACACACAGACGTGGTGCAGCTTCTCATTGATAGAGGTGCAGCTATCGATTCAGTAAGCAAGGATCGAATGACTCCACTTCATAGGGCTGCACTCGATGGCCACACAAAAATAGTGCAGCTACTCATAGACGGAGGTGCTGCAGTGACAGCAGTAAACGAGAATTTACACACACCACTTCATTACGCTGCGGGGTATGGATATATAGAAGTAGTACAACTGCTGCTCAGCTATGATGTGTCAATTGATGCCAAAGATAAAGATGGTGATACTTCACTTCACCTAAGTTCAATGAATGAGCACACAGAAATCGTGCAACTACTGATCAATCATGGGGCGACCATTGATGCCAAAGATAGATATGTAAACACTCCACTTCATAAGGCTGCGCGAAATGGTCATAAAGAAATAGTACAGCTGCTACTCGATCATAATGCAAACATTCATGCCAGAAATAATGATTTCGATACCGCGCTCCATCAAGCTGCACTGTATGGGCACAAAGAAGTAGTATATCTGCTCCTCTATAAAGGTGCCACT